ATTGTTTTTAATTTTTTGCTTGAATAACTTTTCAAGTATGCTTTTTGGTTTATAGTTAAAGTTCTTAGCTTAAATAACTTCTATCAATAACAATTGATTTATTTATTTATATACCAAGTGATCCATTTCAGTTAAGTTATTTTTAGTATTAGGATTAAGTTAAGGTTAGTAATTTTCACACGGTCTCTCTTATCCGCCCGTTCTTAAGTATTAATCTATTTATGAAATCTGAAAAAAAAAAAAAAATTATTATTCAAATTTTACAGCCGCAGCTGCCTATTGACAGTTTTTCCGAAGTTACATGAGTGTAACGCATACTAAAAAATACCATCAAAAGCATTTTTCGTAAACGTTTTACTTTTTATTGTCGTTTTTCTTGGAATATCTTCAATCATGGCGGATGTTAGCCAAGAAGCACTAGACCAGCTTTTAGAAATGGTAATCTTTCGTTTAAACGTATCATTTATGTGAACAATTTCGTTAAATAAAGAATTTATAGGGGTTCGAAAGAAGCAAAGCACAAGAAGCCTTATCGGTGAATCTAAAATAAATGTTTCTAAGTGAATTATCCATTATCTCTCCAAATAAATTAAAGTATTATAATTAATTATTATTCGCAGAAATGTGTTGATGTGGCCCGTGCCGTAGAATACTGTTTTAATCCTAACAGTGGTGATGAAATGGTATGTATAATTTTTACTCGTTACTCTTACTTTTTAAATTCGTAAATTAACTTTTTTCTTTTTAGATGGCTACCCTTACGACCCTAACAGATAATCAAACTCCACAAACTCCAAATGAATGGAATGAGTCTACCACTCCTCGCAATGATTCAGGTGAATTATTATTTTGTATGCTTAAGTAACTTAATATTTCTTAAACTTAGATTCAAATTTGAATCATGCAATTAATGCATCAATGGTAGATGAGAAAAATCTCCAAAGAGCATTATCGGAAAGTCTTCGAGATAAATCTACAGGTGGAGGTTATGACAGTCAAGCTCTTGTTCTATACAATAATGGTAATAAGGTAATTAATGATATTAATAATTCATATAGATTATAAATAATTAAAATATTTAATGTTTATTTTTTTTATTTAGAATGACAATGATCAAAGAACTGATGAAGTTTTTAATAATTGGTCGGATCCAGTACAACCAATGAAACGTATGAAGTTGGACACAACGTAAGTAATTAGATTTATCTTTTTTTATATCTTTCAAATTTAATTAATAAATGATTCGTTTTCTTTTTTCTCTTTTTTTTTAAAAAAAAACAAATTGTGATATATAAAAGTCCGCTTGGGTTAAGAGCAATTTCACAATATGGTTATGCCGGTTCATTTTTCCAAGCATTATTTCATATACCAATATTTCGATTGGCTATATTAGCATATCGGCCATCTCGAGAAAATTGGGGCGCAGTAGAAGGTTATTGGAAGGGAACTGCGATGGGATTACAAGTTGAGGATAATCAAATGAGTTTTCAATCATCAGACTTCATATCTCAATTATGTACCCTTAAGTGTGAGTTACAAATAATAAGTGCGACTTAATATTTTAGGTAATTTTTATATAACATTTCGTTATAATTAAATTATATGGTTATAGTTATGCATGAATTTCAAAAACTTTTCGGGTTTTTGTCTTTGAGTAAAAGAACATATGGAGACGCTAGTTACTTGATGTCCGCTTTGGATTATCAGGATAATAAGATTTGGAATGATTGGGAAGCTTCTGTTCAAGGTATTTTTTTTTTTTTTTAAAAAAAAATTAAATTATTAAATAAATAATGATATGATTTAACAACAACTTACTCTTAACCTATCTTAGAATTTCTTAATAAACTACTTAGTGTAATTATGCGTTCATTAGCGTTGCGTGATCTTATTAAACTTGAATCCGAGATTCCAGATTCTATAGCAGATGTTGGGTTTGATATGTAATTCATTATACAATTTTTTACTTTGTATTATTTTATAATATCCTGTGTACATAAATGGCTCCATGTCATTTTAATTAACCTTTAGATTGTTAAAGTCACGTACCAGGAACGAAACCATTAGGAAATATGAAGACTATAATTATCAACCTGAAAGAAAGGATGATGAAGTTTTGAGTATAATATCCTTCTGAAACATGCTTAAATTGTGCTTCTAATTATGGTATCATATCTATTTTGTATATTAGCCTTAATGCTTTGTAACAATAAACCCTCTAGAAATTACTCCGAGTTGTAATACAATTTATGCTGCGTTTGATCGAAAAGTACGATCTAAAGCAGAGACGATGCATAAATTGTTTTTCATAGATATTGCAAAGATTTTGATTTTAAACTTGAAACAAGACGGATATACTGATAATAGTTTCACATCTTCTTTTGGAAGTACGGGATTTCAGATTCCTAGGGAATTATATATGGATCGATATATGCTGAGTAAAGCAGATGATGTTGAGAGACGATGGCAACACTTGGAGGACCTTAAGGTAGAACTAGAAGACATAAATCAGGATATTAAAAAAATAACAGAATTTCAGGTAAATAGCCGTACTAGGATTGACTTTTAATTGAGCACATTTAACAAAATATTATTATTAGGGAAGACATGATGGTTCAGATTTACTCAAAGGTTCGATTGATTATTTTCGTCGCAAATGCGGTAAAGCAAGTGATAATGGCGTTGAGGACGAAAATGCGCAAAAAGTATGTTCCTTCTTAGAGGGGGTTTTAGAAAATGTTGAACAGAAGCTTAGAGGTGAGTTCTTTATTATTATTATTATTAGATTATAAGTAAATATACGTAAATATATATAATTATTTCTATTTTGGAATTAGTCCTCTTGGAGAAAAAAGATGAAATAGATGGAAAAATTAAGGACATTTTTGATACACCAGATATGAAAACAGTCGTTTATCGGCTCAAGGCTGTTTTAGTGCGTGATAGTCAATTTGGACAAGGACAACATTATGCCTATATTAGAGGCAATAAAACTGAAACCAATTACTCTAGTAACGATGAAAATGGTAGTTGGTGGAAATTCTGTGATACGACTGTTTCAGAGGTGAGATCGAAATCTATATATGTATATATTTGTAAGAACTACGTATTAATCTGTAATATTCTATAGACATTTGAAGAACAAGTGCTCAATGATATGTCAGGACCTTACGTGAACTCTGGCGTGTATACTCTTATCTACGTTGATGCTGATTACGATTATAACATTTCGGAAATTAATGATGTTATCATTCCTTCACTTAAGGTTTGTTACAATTTGCCTTTTATTTTGCAAAAAAAAAAGGGAATGATTTTTATACTATACGTGCTTTTAAAATTAATTATTATTGCTCTTTAGGATTATGTGGAAAAGGATAATCACGCACTTGAAGATGAATTATTTAGTAATAATGATCCTGTGAACAATCAAGATGAATATATGATTACTACGGAAGAAACTGAATATCAGAATACTCAAGGAGAATGGAATTCTGATTCTACATATAGTGGCGGTAATGAAGAATTAAATGAACAAAAAACTTTGCAAAAAATTGATAGCCAAATCGAAATTACTATACGTCAGGCGGAAAATATGGTATCAATTCATCCAAAAATCAACAAAAGGTAACATTGTACGTTTATGTTTATAGAATGATGTATAGGTAATACGTTATAAGTTAATTTAAATGTGATCATTTATTGATTTCTAGATTCGAAATATTTTGTATTAAGCTTGAACAAATTGATTTGTTTAAAAACTTAATGCATAAATATTACGATACTAACCATATAGATGTAAGTTATTTATTTTATATATTCACTCATCATAAACCTTTAAATTAATTAAACTGGCTTTTAGTTGGAGTGGGATGAACCTTCTCCACTGGATACTAGATATCGAGATGAATCACCTTATAAAGAATATGTAGAACTTTTTAACAAATATAAACAGATAACTGTGTATTTTGTTGAAGGGTTAGAACGTATTAAGAGTGATGAATACAATCATGCGCTTGTTTACTTTAAGCATGCAATAAACCTGGAAAATGACTGGCTCAACCAGCTTGTTGTAGAGGACGAAAAAGGAAATCTGGTAACTCTACATGGAGAAAAATTACGACGTTCAAATGAAATTGATGCTTATGCTAGAGCATGTTTGAAGGTTTATATTCGTCATTTATTTCAATATATATATATATATATATATTTTATCTAAATTTAATATTATATATTATTAACTATTATGTACAATATTTTAGATCATTTACGAAGGAGTGCTTAATAATTTCGATTCTAAATATCTTGATGCTAAATATGTTAAGCGTGGACTTGAAGATGCATTACGCGCTTTATCTTTACTTGTGGGATATATTGGAGCATCAAATTGTGCAGAGGATGAATTATTTAAAAAGCTTAAAAATGATGTGTTTCAGTGTTTAAGTGAACAATATGAAGATGAGGAAGAACAGGAATTATTGCGCGAAATAAATGAAAAATATACGCAACCTGATGAATCGTTGAAGTTGAAACCTCTTGAGAATAGCAGTTTACCTTACGATGAATATACTTTGTATGATCGGTATAATATACTTTTGAAAGATTGTAGTACAAATTTAAAGAAATATAATGTACCATATATTCAATAATGGGTTTTATTATACGGAATGTAAGAGATAAATGTAATATTATAATATACACTCACCTGGCATAGATTAAAAATTTTGCAAAATCATTAGCGATCGTTGTTACTTATGAAACATTTTATTTATTAAACTATAAAATATGGTAATAATTATTCAAAACTATATCGATATGAATAATAATAATGAAATAAATTTATTTTTTTTTAAGTATTTTAATTGAATATTAGGAATTGGAATTATAAAGCCAATCCTCAAATAATTCCCTACTTTTAATATATGCTTTTGGAGATTTTTTTTTTTGATGCTTTGAGGCAAGATAAAAAACACTTGTAAATTTTATATGTTATATGAATATTTTTCAGTATACTGCATAGAAAATCATTTGCTAGTTGTTCTTTTGTGAAAACAAAAAGCAATTGTTTCAAAATTATTTATTATAATATATGCAACATATAGTTCACAGAATTCGATAATTTAGCTTATTAAATAAAGTGATTACTTCAGTCATAATTTATATTATATATGCTTCATAATGAGCAAGAAGCTGTAAGCATTAATTATTCTAACTTTTGTAGCGTGATTTCTATTTGTGTTAAACTTTCATTACTTGATTGAATTATATTCTTGCAAATTGAAATGTGGGGATCGCGTAAAGAAATTGAACAAGCTATCGAACAATGGAATTCACTTGCTGATAGAGTTTTAGAGAGACAAGATAAATTACGCAAGAAACAAAAATCCAAGGGCTGGGGAAAACCTGAAAAGTATCTTAATTGACAAACTAAAGCAAATGATTGAACGTAGAAAAAGGCTCGGCAAGAAGTAGAAAAAAAATTACAAGGGATATCCACCTGAAGACAAACCCTTCAAAGGGCTTTTTGTTCTTACCAATTCCGACATCCCTATTGCGCGAATTATTGGGAATAAAGAAGAGATTTTGGATCCATTACGTATTGATACCAAATGTTTTATATTGAACCAAGCGCTAATGTAGGTATTTAATCAATAATATTCTCAAATCTTTATTAAGTTCTAAATAACTAATTCTTATAGTATATACATAAAGTATATAAAAGTTGTTGTCGATTCTTATGGAAGCAACGACGCGAGTCAAGAACTTGTATATTAAAGTGCTTGCGATATGAAAACACATTTAATTCTTAACAGTGTAAATTAAATAATGTATTCATATTCCTAGTCAAATTCTTTTATAGTCTATATGGAGCTTTAAGGGATTTACATTCAAACTCGGATTCGTGAGGACTGCGGTCCTTGGCATCGCCTGGAAAATGGTAATTGGATTTTTTTTTTTGGGTTATTCTATGGAATTTCGCAGGATGGGTGAGATGATATTCAAAGTAGAGGGCGTGCACCTTGTATATTAAGAAAATTCATAAAGTCGATCGATATCGTACATTCAAAGGATAGCTTGATAAAAACAAATGGTTAGTCAAGAATATTTGGAGAATGATAACAATGATATCAATACTT